TGGTTTGCAAGTTTGGTTGACAGCACAGGTGATCTTGGTCCAGAGGGTTTTGGGTTCAGGCTTGAATTTTTTGGAAAAGATTTAACAACTTTTAGAGCGTCTCTGTAAGATAGCTTAGAGTAAGAGCGAACTTTTTCTACCTGCTTAGCCTGCTTCATCAGGGGGCAACCGCCCTAGCTTGCTGTATGTGGGCCATTGCAGTTGCAACAGCGTGGATTTCTAGTGATTGTGCAGTCTTTTACGCTATGAGCACCGGCACAAGCAACACAGCGTGGAGCACCTTTACAGCTAATGGCACTGTGCCCAAAGTTTTGGCACCTGTAGCATTGCCACGGTTTAGCCACATAGGGGCTAACCATGAAGCGTTGATACCCAACATACAGGTATTCAGGCAGAGTGCTAGAAGGGAAATTGATCTTGAACATGGAAGTTTTAGTTTGTTCTTTGCCCTTTAGTATTTGCTCAGCAGTCACATCTGTGTTTCCAGATTCCCTTAGAGCAGTTGTCAGTTCTTCATTGGAGATATCCTCACCAACTGGTCCTATGACTCCAGCACATATTGTCTGGTTCAGGGGAAGACGACACTTTACTTGCCATGAACCAAGGTTCGTTATCTGTAGAAGATGATTTAGGTTTGTTGGACAGTCTTTTTTCATTGTAACCACCAAGTGTTGGGTGCTGTTGGCGCTTGGGGTTTCTGGTGATGTGGCTAATGCCAGCTTTTCCAAATGGTGAATTTGCCAGAGCCGTGCTAATTGAGATTTCATTAGCAAAAAATTTGTGCAGAGGGCGGGCATTAGGGCCATCAGAATCTGGAACAGATTCTATAAGGATTATTTTAGGATTTGAGTAAGAGATATGTATGGTTGGCTCACTTGGCTGGAGAACATCAGGCTGAGACTTCAGTTGGCTACGGTGGTTTTCCACCCCGGGATGAAAACCCTCAAATGTATTGTCATCCTTAGTATTTGTTTGGGACATATTTGTTTGGGACTAGTATTAGTATTTGTTTGGGACTCCACAAGCATGGCTCTAACATCATTACCAATATTGCTAGGTGGAGCTGTATCAATTAGGCTGAGAGAGGGCATTTGAGACCAGGTAGGTGTTACATGATTTGGTGAATTACTAGGTACAGTCCCTACAGAGTTGATCTCAGAGGCATCAGAAGATTCTGATGCTGAGTCTCCTTGGTACTTTTTTTTTACGTTTCAGCCTTCCAGTAGGCATTGTAACAGTTTGTTTTTATATTATTCAAATTTTGATTTGTTCAAAGATTAGACGATGCAAATGTCCTCAACTTGTACTTGCGCCTTGGAAAATTCTTAGAGGCAGTTCCAATCGAGTCAACTGGACCGTCGTGACTTTTGTTTGCAAAGGTAGTAGACTCGTTTGCCCATCTGCCAGTAGTAGATGGGCAGTAGTCCATCTTTGGTCACAGGAGGGGCAGTGAGCAGGCTGTTGTCCTGTAAAAAGGTGAGCATGGGTGAGCCAAGTTGCTCCCAGGCGCAGACGTGTCAGTGGAACTTGATGTGATCGTTTGAGGTCCAGATAGGGAGATAGGCCAAGTGTGTTTTTGTAAGGAAGCAGTTTAGCGGTGGAGTTTTGCCACTGATGTTGCCATTGTGAGTGATAGTGTGTTGAGATTATCTGTTTCAGTTCTTGGTCTGAGAGTGTTATGGGCAATGCATGTGGTAGTGATAGGGCCTCTTGGGCAATCTTGTCTGCAAGCTCATTTCCTTCTATGCCCATGTGTGATGGAACCCATGCTAGTATGAATTTGTTTGGTGTGACAGCTAGGAGGTGTGTGATTTTGAGGACTAAGTAGTGAGATTTTGGGTGTGCATGTTGCTTTTTTAATGTTTAATGCTTTTAAGGAGCTGAGAGAGTCTGAGACTAGAATGAATAGGCCATCCTTGCTTTTATTGAGTCATGCCATGAGATTGAAGTCAGTGGACCATGATCCAGTTGCTGTCCGCTCTGCAGTCTTTGAGCCATCACAAAATACTGGGGTGCGTGTAGGGTACTGGAGCAGGAGGTCACTATAGTAAGCTTGCCATGCCTTGGGTGGATGGTCTGCCTTCTTTGATGTGTGAAGAGTTAGGTCTATTGTAGGGGTTGTTATGGGGAAAAGCATTTCAGGTGTCAGCCCCTGGATTGAGGTGTAAGTGAGGTTTATGGCCATAAATTCATTGTGCATTAGTCCGATTGTAGGTAGTGTTCTTCTTTGGTGTAGTAATTCAAATGGGTAGTATTGCAATATTATTTTTCGTACTGGGTGGTTTTTTATGGGCAGTACATGCATGGCATAGGCCGTTAGGAGATGTCTTCTTCGTATGCATAGTGGTTGTAAGTTGGCTTCCGCTTCCAGGGATTTGACTTGCGTACATCGCAAGGCTCCCAATATGATGCGGCTTGCTGCATATTGAATTCTATCAAGTATGATCAGGTAGGATGGGGATGCTGTGCAGAATAAGAATGAACCATAGTCTAGCTTTGACCGTATAAGGGAACTGTAAAGCTGTCTCAATGTTCTATAGTCTGCACCCCATTTGTGTGCTGCAACCACGGTGAGAAGCCGGAGTGATCGTTGGCATCTTTCTTTCAATTCGTATATGTGTTGCCGAAAGGTGAGTCGGCGATCCAGGAGTATGCCTAAGAAGCGGTGATTAGTTACAAATTCTATTGATTGGTTTGCTAGGAGTAGTGTTGGTGTTGGTGGGGATCTTTTGTTGCAGAAGAGCATTGCTTTGGACTTGGGTGTTGATAGTTCCAAGTTCCATGTGTTTGTCCATGTTGTTATGTTGTTGAGGGCCGACTGGAGCGAGTTGATGCATTTGGTTATTGAGGATTTAGTGCTCCAAATTGCACAATCATTGGCGAATAGTGAGTACTTTACGTTAGATGTGTTGAATATGTCATTTATCATTACCAAAAACAGTAGTGGGCTGAGAACTGATCTTTGTGGGATGCCTGCAGTTACTGGGTGTTATATGGATAATGTTTCTGTAATCTGACTTGGATTCGTCTGTGTTGCAGGAAGTCTCTAACAAATTTGTGCATTCTACCAGTCAGTCCCAGGTTCTCCAGTTTTTGGAGAAGACCTCCATGCCACACTGAGTCAAATGCCTCAGTGAAATCCAAGAAGACTGCAACAGTTGGGTTCTCAAGGATGAGTCTAAGTCTTATATCCGACTCCAGTCAGGTGAGGGCATCAAGGGTGGAGTGACGTGTTCGAAAGCAGCTCTGGTTGGGGTCAATGAGTGATAAATGCTCAAGATGGCATCAGAGGCGATGGCTTACCATTTTCTCAAAGAGTTTGCATAAGCTATTTGTGAGTGCTATGGGCCGGTATGATGATGGATTTGTGGGTGGTTTGTTGGGTTTTAGAAAAGGGAGTATGTGTGCTGCATGCCACTGAATTCAAGTATTGGAGGAACAGGATAAAGAGGTCTGTTTGCTTGGGTCTGGGCTCTTGCTGATTTAGCTTCTCCATTGGTTAGCTGAGATGGGTTGGAGAGTTGTTTCCTGGCTTCTGGATATGAGACTTGATGATCTACTGAGTAGTGACAGATTTCTATTTCATGCAGGTAGATTGGGCAGTTTTTGTCTAATGCATCGTGAGCTTACAACTGACCAACGAGACTCAGGCGACAGCTATCTCGGCTATCTACGTCGCGTTCAGTAGTATTAGTAGTTACCTGTCGTGCGCACTACACGATTACTTAACGTGTGCATGTCTTACATTTTTGTGAACGATAACACATTTAAAAATCCAACACGAGAATGATTAAGGCCGCGATTGATAACCGCGAGCCCTTAGGCAGGCTTGTCAGGATCCCTATGGGAATCTATCACTACGTATATATAGTCATTATAACTCCGCTCGTAAATAAAATATCAATTTGAATTTTGTCATGCTTATTCAGCTTTTTATTTACAATTTCTCTACAGTAACAAAAAATATGTAAATTTCGTCTAGCATTAGTTATGATAGAGGAAAAGGTTGTACATCGATCAATCAATGTTCATTATACTATATGCGTCTTCCCTAATTTTGTGAGACACAAGGATGTTGTAGTTTTTATTCTCTATTGATCGGTATTAAAGACATATCTGAATTAACCTCTATTATGTAGATATTTTCTAACAAAGTATTTTTTCATTACTGCTAAATCGGAGATTTCACATTTTCTTTGGAAGCCGCAGTTCTCATGAAGGAGTTGGGGAAAAAATGAGGGGAAACACACGTCGTAAATTACCCGCCTGTCACTCTTGTGGTGAAGGGGAGCACAATGAGGGGAGAGTAATAATGGTTGGCCAGTGGTCGGCCGAGGCCAGTTAGTTCTAGCCGACCGCAGGCCATTCCTCGGCCACCTAAGAGACGGCCGCAGCCTTAAGATGGGTGCTGGCTCAGGTATCATATTACAAAGGCAACAAGCTCGAGCGCAGCAACTTGCAAATCTGAACACAGAACAAGGGTTCCACATTGTCGTCGCGAATTTCTCGCTCACCGACTTCGCCGCACTCTGACTACTGGCCTTAAGGGGACCGACTACCCTACAATTTTCAATTTTGGCGTTTTTCGGTTTTTGAGCTCATCTTAAAGCTGAAATTCTGCTCTTTCCAATGGTACCACTGCCATCGCTGTACGCCAATATTTACGTTCATGACGGCTCTTTAATTAAATTATACTGATTAAAGAAAAGCCAAGTGGGAAATAGTGTGAAAGTTAACTTAATGAAAAACGGTTATTTGCATAATGATTCCTGAATCGAAACAAACTTCTTTCATCGTCCTTAAAACTAATACTACACAATTTTTATGATGTACATATAAACACTAAGTCGTGGTTCGTAAAGCTATTAAGAAAATAATATTCCATCTCCAATAGCTAATCGCGGATGATGACATAGCGCCACGGTGACATACAATACAACTGACATACCATTTCAGGTAATGTAACAGTTACTTACAATAGGAAAGCAGGATACAAATAATTATTTAAACGTCGATTTGTTTGAACATCGTTTCCAATCTCGTTCGCACAAACACTTGAATTCATAATTCCAGAACAACGCGTTGAAAAGACACGACAATCGCCCTAAAAATTTTACTGAATAATCCATTTATTCCATTCAATTGATCGTTATCAGTTTACCTGATATCAATCCCCAACCATGGCGCAGGCGTACAATCTTAAAAAAAAATTCGTCCAAAGCAATTTAACAAACTAAAAGAATAAAGCCTATGGCTGCGCGGAGTCTCGGCCAATCGCTGCGATCCAGGGATATCTAGTTTCTCATTTATGTCAATTTTAGGATAGCCATCACAATAAATCACACCACCGTTAATTTAGCAGATTAAAGCCATTGCCATTTTTGAAATGGCAGGTTCAAGTTAACACATAAGCTTATTTACAACAAATCATATGAGTAAATCTAGAGAGAAAATCGAGTGAGAGTAAACTACGTGAATGCTAAGATAGTAGTAGATTACCTCACAAGTAAAATATGAGAGAAATAAAGAAAAACAAATAAGGAATTATCACCTTGACTGATACACGGAACACATTAATATAAGGATTTGATACAGATTTTAATTGGTATCTTGTTAACACATTCATTTAACTTGAAAATAACAGAGTTAAATGTATTGAATTGCAAGAAGATGAATCGCCGCTGCTCCATACTCTGACAACAAGTTTGTGAGCTAATTTACTGAAAATGATCAGCACACTGCAACCATAGTTGATCGTTTACTAATTTACAACATTATGATTTCAACCGATGCTGCCTACATGCCCTGGGCAACTGGTCGGAAATGCAGCTGATGATCTCGACGGGGTTGACAGGCTGCTGCGCCTCAATCCGACACTGCGCCAAATCCATCACACTTGTGCGCCTGATGCCTGCTGGACAGTGAACCACCACCGGCAGGGGTTTCTTCTGTGTACAACAAAACAGAAAATGAAGCAATTACGAAGCTGGTTCAGCCAAACAAACAACAATGAAACAGTACGACACAAACTAGTTCAAAACATCATCGAAAATTATCATTTCAGCAACATCGTTCTTACATGTTTGTTGGTCAGGGACAAGCGATGAGCTCATTACAGTTGCTCCCAACAGCCTCCAGCTCCTGTGCCTCATCCAGTAGAGCACGCCGCTCAACAGAAGACTTAAGTGACATTCGAGGGTTACGTCGCCACCTGGTTACGTCGTTCTGGTTGATAAATGAGTACCTGGCTTGTCCAGGGTGTTGTGTAATGCAATTAAATGGTTCTGGCGGGTCAGCGAGCCAGTGATGGTCGTAGAACTACCAGTGGTACCGAGTGCCCGGAAAAAGTGACCTATCAAGCCCCCAAATGGGGTAACTTAGACCACCTAATGTCAGCCCTGACGGGGTAACATAGACCGGCTTGGAAGTTAATATAAAATTACCATATAGGTACTGTATAACATATTTTATGTTTGACAGCCTATTTATGTTTTTTATTTATGTTTCAGACTCTACAGAGTCTTATATATGGTAATTTTGACTTAATTTCCAAGCCAGTCAATTTTACCCCATCAGGGCTGCCATTAGGTAGTCACATTTCCCTCATTATGGGGCGGAGCCCCCATTTGCAAACTATGACACTTTCCTCAAGTTTGTCATTTGCATATGTAACTAGAAGAGTTCTACTACAATGCACCAAAACCTGGAGTTATTTGGAGTTATTTTACCAAGAAATATAATTGATTTTACCACCCGGTCTAAGTTACCCCAAGAGCTGAGGTAACAAAGACCATCACTTTTTTTTAAATTACATCAAAACTATGAGAGGCAGGAGCCAGCAATTTATGGTGAGTGAAGCTAGAGTATAAACCTGTATTTTGCACATTTCAATTCAAGTTTAATTTAGCTAGTAAAAAAATGGCATCATTTATAAAAAAAAGGTGGTCTAAGCTACCCCATTTTACGGTATCTAAGAAAGTCAGCAAAATTACACGACTTCACGCAACGATACTCACTGATGTCTTTATAATCATCCTATTCACTACCTTCACATAATGATACAGACCAGTATCTCTATCATCCTGGGCAGCTGATACAAACTTTTTAAAACCTTCTTACAAATTTCATATAATAAAGATTGACACGTACAAAAAGCCTCTAGATACAAAAAATTTTTAATGTGTTCTATAACCTTTCCTGAACAACATGAATGATAATTTATAATCTTTGCCTGTCACTTCCTTACTGTATCATACAAAACATCATCCCTTACCAATTCCAGGGTTCAGAGAGTGGGTATATATTCAAAGATATATGGCAACACATCAGCATCAAAATATATATCCGGAAGTGCTTACCGACAGTTATCTTATTATATACTACATATTTTATTTACATTCATCTCCAACAAAAAATCTTGGAGGTTAACTTTAAAACAGTTTTGGTAGGAAATCCTCAATAAAACTGGTAATATACTTCAGGCCTAATTTCCTAATTTTGCCAACAAAATTGCCAGAATCTGCATAGCAGCTTTTCAAGTTAAAGAAAAAATTGCATTTGAGATAAACTTGTAGACATTGCTCATTTTCTTAGGCTTTCATGAGACAGGTTTGCAGCTATTTCAACTGGTTTTTATAACTTGCATTCAATTTTTCAAATAGAAAGTAGGTAAAAAATAGGAAAAATGTAGGAAAAAAATGAAAAGCACTGACTAAACATCACATAGCATAAACCAGAGATTCTTGATATTGGTTCATTTTTTATTTGCTCCTTTATTAAGATTTAGTGCAATATCTTACATTAATAATGCTTATATAGCAATATCCATGATACTTTGCTGGTCTACTTATAAGACACAAAATTGAACTTGAGGAAGAGTTTAAAAAAACTCTGCTTTGTCACCATACAACTAGCACTCTTCTGCCATTTTTGGAGCTGCAAAATTCCTGCTAAATTGATAAGCTCCTATCTATTAGTAATCAAAAAATTAATGATCAGGATCTTACATGATTTGAGGGTCAAGAGAGCCTCCACTGGACAAGCAAAAGAGCTCCTCTGAAACTGATGTCCATAATCCTGTAACAAATTATTAAACAATATTTTATTTGCTTCCATAAAGTAATGTTTGATGACGCTCTGCATTACAAAAAAAAAAACAATTAGCAGAAGATATGTTAGTCACAAAGAAACCAAGATGGGCAGCTTTAGAGGAATAGCTAATCTGAAATTAATTTTATTACTATCACAGGAAGAAAATCAACAAATCACTATATACTAAGAATAGAAAGATGCAAAATCGGTGGTGATTAGAAAACTCAATTTACCTGTAATATTTCATGAACTGTAATAGTTGGTATAATAATAGTGGATTATGCCTCAACTAACCTTATGCTACCATAACAGTGCTGCATGGAGCAGACGCAATGTGGATAACTTTGTAGTGAAGGTAACAGACTAACAGGTGTCACGGCGAATGGATGATTTTGCCAGCATTTCCTTTTTTGTAAAAGGTTTCTTCAAACTTGAGGTCTTGTAAACTTGCAAATGACTTTTAATGACGAGAGCCCTGTCAAGCTTCCAAAATTTTCAAGGCCAAGGCTTAGTTGAAATAATAATGGTTTAGGAATCCATAGACAAAATCACTCAAATAGGCCAAAATGTACAAGACATTTTTTACACACACCATCTTCCTTCAATTCATGATGCTTTGAAAAGGCTCTTCTGCTGTTACTCAAGTCTTCTTTTCATGTTGCAACTCCTTACTTTGACATCCTCAAGCAACTGTCATTGACTTTCTCTTAGGGACATGGTGACCTCAGCAGCAATTGGTTTTAAAATTGGAGGACCAACTTCAGGTCCTGTAGTGGGCAGAACACAGCATTGCCTGAAGACCAACGATGCTGCATTTTGATAACGTAGCCAAAAATCAGCAAATGTTTGTTTACCACTTAACATCACACCATGACTGGTTTCAGTGTTATGATGTTGATCATATATATTGGCTCTCGATTGCAACTTACTTCTAAATTCTCATGCGCATCTCTAAATTGGCGCATCTCTAAATTCTCATGCTGATCACCTCCACCAGGGAACCAGCAAACAAAGGCGGCTACGGCCCATGGTTTGAAATGAATCCAACTATCCAAATGAGAATAATTGTACTCCCATAGAGGATTTTCAATCGATGCTGCTTCTGCCAGTTCATAATTGTTAGGAAAGTTGGCACTCACAAACATGAAGGTAAATTTACAATTTTGAGAAGGAATGGAAGTATTGACAGAGGGCAGGCAGCAATTTCATGGGGGAAAAATCCCACATCAATCTCTCAAAGCGTCACCTGAACACATTATTTTGTCAATTCGATCGTCCCATTGGTTAGTTTGCTTTCAAAGTTCCGTGATGGCCTGCATTGTGTTGTGCTGTTGTCCACAAAATACTCATCAGCATCTTCTGCATCCACATCATCTGCAGCAGCATCAACATAGTCATGAGGGTCTAATAAATCCTGCAACTCATTCATCTTGGCCATGTTTGTGAGATCATGTAGGTAAACTCAATCGTTAACAATGCCTGACTCATTCTCATTACTAAAAATATATGAATGTCTGAAACAGATGCCAGTTGTGCATTGACCATGCACCACGCAGCCAAACCGATAAGAACACTACTAACAAATTGGAGAGGAACAATTTTCTTGGAAGCATAGCAAAGGAGGCGTTCCCTGGGGAGGTAGTGGCTCTTTCATCGTGAATTTCTTAGGATAAGAAGCACACCCCAACTTTGTCTGACCACCTGACCAATTCAAAAAGTCAATTTTTGTCAAGGAATTCAATTACTTCTCTTCTACATAAGTAACATATTCTACTCTTCTTCTTTGGACTGAGAAAGACCCAGTCCAAATCTCTCAAAGTTTTGCCAATCTTTGAATATGGTCCGCTGCATTGGTGCCAGTCAAATTCTGTAGCCCAGCAAAAATCTGTGTCAATGGTGTACTTCTGGTTGTGGTCCATATCCTTTCTGCTTGCATAGCTCAGGAATCACTTGCCATTGAGCAACGTCAAAGGTGCAACTCCTTTGCAGTGCGTATCACACCGATTGACCAGGATTACCTCTGACAAAGTTTGTACAGCTCTCCGCAAATTTTGGAAATTCCTTCCAAGATTGATGCAGTTGACTTGGCACAATTCCTTCAAAATTGCCGTTGCTTTTTGCATAGGGTGAGCATCTGGCACTACCAATCCCAAGAGAACAACAAGATTGATGAGTGCGGTTTCAAGACTCAACAGATCATGAAGCGTTTTCTTCTGACGAACTTGTTTGAGCATGCGTTGTAGACAAACGTGCAGCTCTCTATCCGGAGCATTCCTCATGCGCTCCAAGAAAAATATATGAAGGAAATGGGAATGTAGAAGAGAATGCATTACAGAGTGCAGAACGATACCTGAGCCCATTGAGAGACCCCTCTTCCCTAAAAATGGAACAAGGATAGGTCTACAACCAGCTGAGTCAGCAGGGTGCACTACCTGCAACATGTCCGAATTTCCTATTGTACAAGGTACGGCAATAAAACCTCCCCAGTTTGAGGAAGCCACTGCGTGAGTAGTAGTGGGGGTAGAGATGGGAAGGGGTATATATCCATTGCTGTGTACGGGCCATGTTCTGTGTGTGCCATGGTTGGCAGTGAGCATCGGGCATTAGTTGTGGAAGAGTTTATCGCAAATGGCGGTTCTGTGATTTCTACTCAACGATCGTTTTGGATTCGATTCGAAATTGGCCGACATGAGTGTTCCTGATGCGAAAACGATTTGACAGTAGGTGTCAAACTTTAGACAAACATGATCAGCACTAAAAAGAAAGCCAACCGGCCTACCTTGTACTGCAATAACACCGGAGAATGTGGCGTGAGTGAGAACATCCATACAACGGTCTCCAAAGCGTTCAGCTGTTAAACATGCAGCTGCCCTGGCATTGTCAGAAAGGACTGTAAGGAGAATTCTGCATAAAGAACTTCAACTGCATCCCTACAAAATAATGGTTGCCCAAAAGTTGTCTGAAGGAGATTTTGAAACTTGCAGGGCTGCATGTGATGAAATTTTGCAAAACATTATTCCCCCGGATGCTATCTTCATTTCTTCTGATGAAGCCCACTTCCACTTGTGTGGAACTTTTAACAAGCAGAATTTCCGCTACTGGGCTGCAGAAAATCCTAGGGAACTCCACCAACATCCACTACACAGCCCAAAAGACTCAATTTGGTGTGTGTGGGCCATATTCTA